TATGATACTTTAGCCTTAGGCTATACTTGAATACAGTTTTAAATTTAATTATATATTATTGTGGATTGAATACCAAAAACCTAAAAAATTATAAATGTTCTTTTAAAAATTTGTGGATTTATGAATTATATTGATTTATTAACGTAAAGTTTGAAAATAGTATTGTTAATTAAATCTTTATTTCTCATCTACCTTAGAAGAGCATCAAGTTTATTAAAAATAGTTCTTTTCCAATTCATATTGGTTTAGCTGATTTTTATTTTTTTTGTCATATGAATTTTAAGAATACGTAATTTTATTTCATTAATAAGATTTCTCTATGCTTAATAAAGGATTTGCAAAATAATAATTCCTGAGTTGTAGGATTCCCCCTAAACTCAGTACAATCGCTTGAATTATTTATTTTTTTCTATATAATAATAAAGTTATCACTAATAAGATTGGGTCCTATTCATAAAAATCACTGTAGACCTAAAAAATTTTAGATTTAAGGATTCCAAATTAAAACATAATAATTTGTTTTGAGAAGGAGAATATTAAATTATCAATAACTAATTATTTTTTTATGCTTTAAGTTAGTAGACCCTATATTAATTTAAAAAGTGCTTAAAAGTTTCAAATTATACAGAGGCAATAGCAGGAGAAGTTATTCTAGATAAATTTATTATGAAAGGAGTATTTCTATTAGAAATAAAATAATTTATAATTATAGTATTTTAGGGAGGTTTAATGAAGCTTAAAAAATTATAAAAAGTCATTAAATCTAAAAAAATTTCTTTTAGGATAATATGGAGAGGAATATTCTAAGTAATAAATTTAAGAAATTCGCTTAATAGTTTTATAATATTAAAATTATTCTCTAGAATATATATTTTCAATTTTATTTTACTATTTAGTAAAAATAAAATATTATATTAATTTTTTTTGGTTTTTAAAATATATGGTAGAAAAAACTTCTAAAGTATTTATTTTACATGTAAAACAAATAGAAATTTTATATTCATTAAGTTAAATAAGAAACTTGTGCTTTTTAATCTAAAATAAGTTAATCTTATGTAATGATAAAATATAAATTCAACAAAACTTATTAATAAATATGACCTTTAGAGTGAGTAGTTATTCTAATTAAAAATATAAATTTGCAGTTATTTAGTTCATAAAATAATGAATATATTGATATTATTTCATAAGCTTGTTTATGTTTATTAAAATAAATTTATTATTCTACTCTACTTTAATATTTACAAATACCTTGCCTATCTAATTATTACAGCAGCTATTTAAAAAAAATGTCAATTATCAAAGGTTATTAGGATTTAATGAAACTTATTTAAGTTTAAAATCAGATTAGTACTTTATAAAAGTGAGAACATAGTATAAACATTAAAACAAATTAATAAATCAAGTTGATCAGTAATAGATATTAAATAAAGTGAAAATTATATATATTAGGCATTTTTTCAGCCTTAAAATCAAATTAAGGTTTAAAATATCTTCTAAAAGCTGATGTGTATTACAGTTAGGATTATTCTTTTTTATGAAGAAAAGTTATTCTTGAAAATAGAATCTCAGTACATCTCAATGAAAATTATTTTTTCAATTGATTGAAAAGTGGAATACTACTTGATTATCAAATATCGGAAGAGACTGGCCAGGATATATATAGTATAAAAAATTTCTAAACATACTTATCATATTTGAATAATCTAATTATTTGTAAGAGTTATTGTTTTTTTTAATTTTTAATTCTATTTAATAGTTTTAGTCTGAAATTTAAAATATTTGAGTATAAGTATTTTATTTAAAGAATATGGGTACTAATTATTATTAAGTGATCGCCCTCAACTTTTTCAGATTAGTTAAAGATGTAAAGTATGGGACTGAAATATGAGATTTTTTTAGGCAAATAAGTAGCAAGTTAATAAAAAATGGTATTTTCGAAAAATACCTTCAAAAATAATTTGAAATTCTTAATTATTCTGGATGAATATAAAATCATATTCACAATAAAATTTTCAGATATTTAAAATCTTTTGAATCTATAATAATTAGTATAATTTATAATACAATTCAAAAACTTTAAAAAACAATAACCTATTTTAAACCTGACTTTAGAATATGTCCAATTATCATATGAAATCATTTTATTTCTAAAACTTCTTTTTATTTTTATCATCTAATTTTGGAACAACGGTGACAAATTTTTTTATAGAGTATATCTTAGATTTACTTGATGGAAATAGAAACAGATAAAATTGACTAATCTTTCATCTAATTGGAAACAAATGGTATTAAAGTTATACTAGACCAGCCATTTTGATTTGTTACAGTACAATTATTTAATCCCTATTCTATAGATCTTTAACTTATTTTGAATAATAGTTATTTTTGGGACTTAGGTTGAGTTTCGCGGGATCACTTAGAAACTAAATTAAAATCTTCTAAGCAGCAAGAAATTCTTTTTCTTTTATTTTTTTTTTCTTAATTGAAATTCTGTCTTACCTTTTCTTATATATAATTATCATCTTATTTTAGACACTCTTGACAATTACTTAAATTCTTAATTTGGATATCCCTTTAAATTTCTAAATTTCAATTTAAGATTTCAACTTTTTATTTCCTAGGCTTGTTTTTCATGTTTTTTAGATAGTATCTTTTTAAAAATTTTTATTCCTATTTTATATCTGTTCTAATAGATTGTCACAAATATTGACAAAAGCACATTGATTTTTAATAACATTTTATATATATAGCTTATTAATACTTTTGTTAATTGGATTTCTTTGTCTTAATCATTTTTAGTCTTAAAATATTAAGGTAGTTGTATCAATAATATAATTAAACAATATTGTAATAAAATAAATCTATGATAGTTGCCAGAATAATTTCGATTAAATAAAATATGATGTATGAGTAATATTTTATCAGCTTAATTTAGAAACCTAATTTATTAAACTTAAAAATTGAATCTAAATTATATTTTACGATAATATCAACACTATTTTATAATTATTTTTACAGAAATACATTTAAGATTTTTAATTCACTCTTATGATTAAAATGTTTTGTCTTTAGACAAGTCAACTACATAGAAACAATTATCTTAAGAGTTTGAAATTGTCAAATGAATTAAATTAAGGAAAAAAAATTTAAGGCTAATTTTCAGATCGCCTTCAAAAAGAGTAACTAATCCATCTATTCACAAGGAAGGACTAATTTTGAAAAGGTAAAGGCTGTTTAACAACTTGAAAAGCATATATATATATATTAAATACTTAGAATATTTAGAAATATTAACAAATATGTATTAGATTGAACATCTTTAATGTACGATCACTATATTTAGTTATACCTATTTTACATGCCTCAATTTTAAATTATTCTAAATATAGTTTAATTTTATTAATGTTTATAAATCATATAATCTAAAGTGTTTTACATATTGGACATTTTTTTTGTTATTTAAACCAATTATCTATGCATTCTTAATGAAATGAATGAGAACAATTTAACTATTTCTTGTTTTCAAAAACATCTTCGAAACAAATTGTGCATTAAGTAATTCCATGTTTTTCTCTATTTTATTATTCTAATAAAGTAGGACATTTGTTTAAATGATCTTTTAGTTCAGATTTAAAGCATGCTTCAGAACAATGAGGACATTTTATTTAAGTCCAAAAATTACCTTCACAAATTTCTAAATGATCATTAAAGTAAAGTTTAACAATCATTTAACCGCATTAATGGCATGGTTGCTGAATCAAATTATATTACCCTATTTATTATTCACAAAACTTTATGTGGATCCAATAAACTTCATTGGCCATAATTTCATCACAAAAAGGGCAAGAAATCATATCCGAGCACCCTATTTATTGCTCATTCTGAATAAAATTTTATTCTATTATATGTTATACATTATTAGGAGTTTTTTTTACTTCTATTTAGAATATTTAAGGTTAATTTTATTCATTCTAAGTTAGAAAGCCATTTTATGGGATTTAACTAGAGTTTTAAGATTATTTTTAGATTTCATCAATATTTTGATTTGAAGTTCTCTTTCTTAGGATATTATTAATTTTTTAACAAAATTTTTTCCAACAACTTAAGTTTTATTAAGTATTTTTGGATTAATTGTTATTGATCATCATCTACTAATATGCCTATTATAATAAAAATTATAAATTATTTTTTCAAATTCATAGATACATATAGTTGGACATTATTTATTACTAAGAGTTCTTAGGATTTTCGAAAATTATAAGTCTACCTTTTTGTAAATTAAGACAACTAATGAAAAAGATAATTCAACATTTAAAGATGATCATTAAATATTTGAGAATGAGCTAGATTTTATTAAAATCTTCATTAATCTTACAAGATATTCTCAATAAAAATTTATTATAATAATCATTTAACAGATTTATATAATTCTTTTTATCATAATTGTTAAAATAATTTTATAAATATGAATAATTTTTAGGATATATCTTAACATAGATAGAAATTTGATCCAAATAAATTTCTCTAATTGAATGTTGAAATTACAAAAGAAAGAGAAAATATTTAATTAATTTCTATAAATAAAGATTCTTCCATTATGATCATATAATATTTCAGTAAAGTTAGAATATACTAATTAAAGGACATTAATATTAAGTTTATAATAAGAATAAAAAGTATATTACAATTTGGGTAAGTTACAATTCCAAAATAATTGTAATTCATGAAAAAATCTAATTAAGTATGCTTCATTCAAAATTCAATAACATTCTAGTCTATATGTGGTATAAATAATTGCAAAATTTTAATGAAATAGCATCTAGGATAATTTAGTTTTAGTTGTAATGATGTATTAATAAATTAAAATGATAACATTATTATATTTGCCTAAAATAGTGGAATAAAAATATATGAAAAATCAGAATCAGGGTTCGTACTAAATAAAGATATACAATTGAATTTCATTTATTACTTAAGTTTAAATGAAACAGAATAATTTTTAATATGTTTTTAGCAGCAAATTGATGATTAATCATGTATACTAGTAATCAATTAAAGTATAAACTAAGATAAAAAAAAATGGAATATAATCCAAAATATTAAGTTAAAATCCAAATGCTTTGGCTTGTAATTTTTTGATTAAAGAACTTTTGTATGCTTAATTAGATCAAAGATTTTAATCTTTAAATATTAAATTGAGGATCATCAATTTAATCTATTCAAAGTTATTGATTAAGATAATAAAGATAATTTCATTAATGTTTCGACCATACTTTTTATTGAATAAAGAAAGATATTAATGCATATTCATACTCATAATATTTAGATTTTATAATAAAATGAAAAAGATGAAATTGAACTTTACAATTTTAATAGATAAAATTTTCTTGACTATTCATTTCCCAAATATAGTTATGGATTTGTCAGTAATGATGGGTTATATCTAATTTTTTGGAATTAAATGAATAATTAATACAAAATATGGAAATATGATCTACAATCTTCAGAAACGAAAATTGCTCAATCACTGATTAAAAAATAATGAAAATTCACATTTATGTTATACAATTTAATGCATTTTTGGATTTATTGTTAATAAATGATGATAGAGTACTCTTAAGTAAATATGACTTTAAATAAAATGTTATCGAGATTTATACTTAATTAGAATTAATTTTTTTTATAAAGATTTGAAGGAATTATCAAAAAAAAAATATAGTATTTTTATTATTTACCCAAGGATGCCCATTTTATCAAAAGAACAACAAGCTATGTTTTTAATATTTTATTTTTTTTTCTCAAATAGGAATTAAAAGCATATCAAAAATATGTAGAGAATTTTTATTCTGAAACTAAAGGGCTTTAGTTTAGCATCAATCAAAGTATCTGAGATACTGCCTAAAGCTCCTTTAAAATTACAGTCTCATATGCATTCAATTCACTGCGATTCTCTTTGAGATTTCTAAGCCTATTCAATTTGTTATTTTGCTTAGTCGTCACTTTAATTATTTTCATTATTCATATTAAACATATGAGTCAATGTTTATTGAGATCATAGGCTTTTCAAAATTTGTTTAAATTCATTATTTTAAACCATGAAATCATCTTCACATTAATCTATTGTAGTTGTTGTATTTTACAGATCCTTTTTTTATACTTTTTCAATTAAAAGTTTAAATTTATGTGAGCTAAAGAAAGGACAGTTCAAAATTAATAATATTTAATTTACAAAATGCACTCTTTTCACTCATTATACGGTTTGAAATAGTAGAATCCTCATCCAAAGTATTGAGAAAATTGATTAGCCATTTCTAATTATGTAACTGTTCTGCGTATTTTTGATGAAGAGACTTTGCAAATTTGTTTATTAACTAAATCATGACTACTTTTTTGAGAATTAATTCAATCTTGACTTTTCTTTTCTCGATCCTAAAATATTTACTTAGAGCAATATTTAATAAATAACAAAGGATAATTGATAATCTGAACACAGGTAGATAATAATTTTTAAAACTTATCGCAGTAAGCAAGGTTTCCAATCCACTGTAAAGCTATTTATTAAATAGCAAAAGTTATTAAATTTTTTTAAAGGATGAACATGTAATAATTGTGATACTTCGAATTATCAGAACATATAATTTTTCTTAATTAGAACTAAAACATTATAATACACTATCGCTTGATTATTTGATAATCTAGAGCCTATATTATATATATAGTTATCAAAATAAATTAAAAAAATTATTTTACTTTAAGAAAATTAATTCAAAGATTAAAATACATTATACGTGCTTCATACTTCAATCTCAAAGGGTAAAATTAGGGACCTGCAATGGTTGTAACCAAGTTCAATAAGGGAAAGAAGCCTGGATGAAGAAGCCGTAATATCTTACATATGCTTCTTTCATACTTAGATGACGCAGACAAAATTTGATCTGATTTTGGAGTAATGATTTAACCTAAGCCTTTTGTTTGAAATTAATAAGAATCCAAGATATAGGCACTATTTAAAGCTTCAAAAAATAACCTGAAAAAAAAATGCTTGTTTTTGTTTAATTAAGTAATTATGAATATACACTTAGTAATATAATTTTTGACCTTAGACTTTCTATTTAAATTATATCTTTCTTTAACCTCTCTCAAAATTTATAAGGAATGACTAAATTTATGTTGCTCATTTTGAAAAAGCTGATTATTTGCTCTTATCAAATAGATTTAAGATTCAATTTTCAAAAGAATACAGCTGATAAAGGTCCATCATATATTTTATTGAGAAACTTATTCTTACTCCTTTATAAAAAAGGTTGCTATGATTCATTATGGGATTAAATATTAGAGAATTTATACAATGATATGGTTTTAAATCCATTAATTTACTTTGTATAATCAGATTAGTATATGATTCTATCTCTTTTAATCCAATAGTAATTTATGATATCTTAGAAGCTTTGTCAGTTGAAAGTAAGTTCTCAGAATTTTTAAATTTTGTTTTTGCAACTATCCAAAATAAATGGGCCTTTGTAAATTATTATCTTCATTTAGCAAACACACTCTAATATTTGATTCTATTAGATTTCTTAGTTTTCAATTTCAAGTAATTTCTATCTTAATTTTCCTCATTTTACTCTAAGCCTAATTTTGTTTGCTGTATACATCTTTCATGTAAGCATGAAATAGCTTCTACTGCTCTAACTATTTCTAATATATATATGAATTTCAGAATTCTCCTCCACTATTTTGAATTATTAATTTTTTAAATTGAAGAAGAGAGATGTTTAAGCTATCTTCAAAAATCTATACTACACTTTTACAAAAAATCAATTCTTTGATGTCATCTTAAACAACATTATCATTATGAAAATTTCTTAATCGCTTAAATTTCTTTTAATTATTTTTGATTAAAATAAAGTTTACAATTTTATTCAATCATAGTATATCATTAAGGTATTGAATTTTTTATCATTCATTATTTGAGATTTAAAATAATTTCATACTTTAAATTTGATTTCTGATCTACTCATTTTTCTAAAGAAGCTAAAAATGAAGACCAAAAAAATTAGTTATCTAGAATTAAAATTTCCATTCCAATTTATGTATGACTACTAATTTTTTTATGGATTCCTTATAAAATAGGAAAAGAAATTATTTATATATTATATCATAATTATTCATTTATTTAATAATTCATATATTGAATATCCTTGGGTTTTTTCATCCCAAAAGACCAAATATTATCCATTGTTTGTAATGGTTCCTTAAATAGCTTTTGTTTCGCAATTCAATTACTCAACTATTTTGAACTTACCATTATTTATTTCTCTAATGATATAAATATAGGTTTTATGTCTTACTACAATTAAATTCCTCTCCTTATTGTAAATTATTGGAAAACGATATTCATCAACTTTCTCATTATTTGTAATTAATTGAATTGTCTTCTCCTAATTTTCTTAAAAGACTCCTTCTTTTAATTCAAATACATAGAGTTTATCTATTTCTTTACCACCAGTTATCCAAATAAATTAATTATCTTTAATAAATTTAATCTTAAGTCCTTCTTCTTAAATTGACTATGTAACAAAATGTTTGAATTCAAACTTATCTTATTCTTTTCTTTCCCAAATTATAATTTAATTCTTACTATCTGCACATGATACTAATTATGTTTCTGATTAATTTAAACTTAATGCATTAACTTTATTTTCATGTTTATCCAATGAATACATGTATGTCAATATATTTTTATTAAAATCAACCTTCCATACTTTAATTGATTTATCAAAACTTCCAGAAAATAGTAAATCCTCATTTGAATTTAATATAATACATCCTACAATATTTGTATGTTATTAATAAGGTTTTGAACTACTCCAATCTATTTTATCCAATTCTTTCCAGCATCTTATTGTCTTGTCTCCTGCACTTGAAATAAGGAAATTCTATTTCTTACTATAAACTAAACATTAAATCGAACTATTATGTCCTTACAATGTTTTAATCAATTTTATTGTTCCATTTAGAAAGCTCCATACTTTAATATCATTGTATTCGGTTGATACCATAATAGACCCAGAAGAATCAAAAACTATTGCTTTACATTACACATTTTATTTAACAGATTAATCAATTAAATTTAATTTGATTTCACTATTTTGTGACAAACTTGAACAACCAATGTTAATAAATTTTTCCTTTATCTATTTAAAGTTAAGTTTATCTTTATCTTGAATATATTAATTTAAGTTATTAGATAGTTTCGTCTTCCAAGATATATTAATATTATTGATAAGTTTTATATTAGATATATAATTAATATTCTAATTCTTAATAAAGCAATCTAATTCATCATATAAACTGTATTAGTTGAATTATTAACTTTATGCCAATAGATTTTGAGTCCAATCTTGAGCTATGATAATCATAGAATCAAATAATTTCATCAATTATGTCTTTAATTCTTATATACTTTTGATACAAATTGATAATTATTGAACTGTCTTCTAAACAATATTTTCTAAGCTGTTCATATTTTGATCAATAATATCCTCAATAATGTAGATTAATTTTTAAAATCCTATAGTTTTTGCATCTGATTCAAAGTTTTCCATGCATTTATTGCATAAAAGTCTTTGTTTCTTTTCTAATTTTGGATCAAGTACAACCAAAAGTATTGGTTAGCCATGTTTGTGTTAACATTTAAATTCTTTTTCATTTTCTATCATTTTAGCTTTAAACATTTAATTAAATATATTTATTGTTTGTGACAAGATTGAGTTTTTATATAGAAAAAAGTTTAGTAGTTTTAATTAAAAGAAACTAAATCTTGATTTAAAGGGGAGTTAATAATTAAGTTGGCTTCAAAATTCATAATCATGCAGGTTTGCTGAAATTCTAGATTTTATCAAATATACAAAAGACTATTATAATTATTTATTATGTATTTGTCCTTAAAATAGTTCGAACTAATCATTACATATAGTGAAATTCCTAATGTATATTAATTCAAAGCCACCATTTATTAATTAACTGATTGATTTTTGCTCTAGATTTGCAAAGCTTTAAATATATTTGATCTGCTCTAGTACTTTAAATTAATCAGAAGTTATTTAGGCTCCTTGCCGAAGATATATATATTTGGCTGCTTTGAAAAAGAAAGATTTTTTGACTCTGTGCCTAAATGATAGATAATCTATTTGAAAACTACAAGTTAAAAAGAGTCTATTAGAATTTGTTCTTTTATATCAAGAATGCTGAATAGTTTAAAAAATGCAATTATTATATTGTTAAACTTAGTCGAATATCTAGAAGATTTTAGATAATTATCTGAATTTTTATAAACCTAAGAAAATAAGATAGAATTGTCATAAGATTGTAAATTTATTGATGATCTTTAAAAATAATTTGAACTCATTTTTTTAAAATGAAACACAAATCGCAACTATTTAGACATTTAAGGCTGTTGTATAAAATATAAATAATTTAAACAAAGATAATAAAATTGAAATAATGTTTTCGTTAACTTAAAATAATTAAATAAATATATACAAATATTAAGAAAGGTTTAAGTTTAAGCAATCTTTGTCCAAAAAATAAAAAAGAAATAATTATGATTGACATAGAGTCTGAGAATAAATAAATAGAATATAGATTTGTTTGTGTATAATACACAAGTGACAATCCCTTGTGCTAATATAGAACAAAAGAAGAAGTTAACTTCATGATAATTTAGATAAATTTTAAAAAGATTTTTTTAATTTTTAGAAGTTTAGTGAAATAGAATAACTAACTAATAATCTAGAAACTTTGTAATAGAGTTATAAAAATTTGGATTTTGAAAGTAAAAAGATTTTTTAATAAATTAAGAAACTCTATAGAGAATAACAAAATAATTTAAAGTGAATATGAAAATAAATTAGATAAGAAGCTAATAGATTTATAATTAGAATTATAAATTAAAAAATTAATTGAAACTACTAAAGGAAAATTTAAAGAAAGAATAGATAATAATAATTAATGTTAATAAAAATAAAGAGAATAATAAATATGCCATTAAAATTAAAGATAATGATACTTAAATAAAAGAAATATAATTAAGGTTTGATAAATTATATAAAATAAATAATCGAATTTTTATTTTAAAATTTCTTATTCTGATAAAAAATCAATTTTATGATTAATTCAGAAAAAATAATCTAGATTTTTGAATTTTTTCTGTCATGAGTTTATGATGCAAAAAATTTCTTAAACTTTCTACAAGTTGTTTTCTCTGAAATATCCTGAGCTGATATTTACCTTTTTACTTTCCCTTTATTATATAGAATAAAGGAATGAGCTTTATGAACCAAGATGATAATAATTTCTATCAAAACTTTTCAAATTACAACAGTTGAAAGTAATTTATAAATTAATTAAATAAAAAAAATTAAGATCCTCTTTATGCAAAAGAGTTTACTAAGATATAAATTTAGTGCTTATAAAAGTCTCTTTATCAAAAACTATTATTCCATAAGTCTCTTACTTCATACGATTTTATTATACTTATTTATTAATATATATCAATTTTACTTTTTTTAAATCCAATATGTCATTAAATATATAATTGAATAGTCTTAAATTATTAATTGAAATAATTATGAAATACTATAAAACCAGATTTACTTCAAGATTAATACTGGATCATACTAATTATAAAATATTTAGTTTAAAAAGCTAGTGTAATTATCAGAAATTCAATTTTGATCTATTAAGGTGCAAGAGATGGGTTAAATAATTAATGATATTGGAGTAAGGTGAATGGAAAAAGTAATTTGCTTATGGTCTTTAAATCAAAAAGTGATCATATCTTTTGAGCACACTCTCCTTGTATATGGGAAATATGTGGGAGATCATAAATTATCATCTTTCATATTTTCATAAACCCATATTAATCTTTAGAAGTATGATGCTAAATAATATGCTATTTATTTTAATTCAAATTATGGTCCTTCATTTGGCAATGAATATGATATTAAAATAGGAAGTGACTTTACAAAAGGTTATTCCAAATTAGATATCTCATATTCATTTTCTAATTTTAAATATGGCCATTATGATCTAGATTTATTTGGATAAATTAAACCAGAAATAAAAGAATGCCAAATATATGAATCGTAATTAGGTTGAATTTATATTGCTATTTACAATTATTAATATTTAAATGTTACAGATTGAACTTTATTTATTATGCATTATTTAACTACATTATTAAAATCTCTATGATAACTTAAATTTAAATTAATCAATTTACTATAATTCGATAATTACTTATTTATGATTTTTATTAGAATAGATAGTTATTGATTTCATTATTACTGTAATTTATTAAATTTATAAATTACTTTAAATTTTGAGTAAATATTGGTAATAAAGTAAAATTAAGATTAATTGAACTGTTTTCATTTTTAGAATAATAAACTATACTCTCTTCTTTTACCTTATCATATTTATTAAATGTATAAATGATATAACAAAGAGATTTATTTATCAAATCCAAAAAATAATAGATTAGGCTAAAACTAATTAATTTACTAAAATGCAACTCATATTAAATTGCAAACTTCAATATCAATAATCTATTTGCTATTTTTAATAGTTTAACACAAATTATCATACCAAACACAATAACCAGCAACACTCTTAATTATAATAAATATTGAATACAGCTCCATTTAATGGTTTCTTGTGTTCTTCTGCTACATAACATTTACCAAGTAAGATTGTATCATTAACAAATTTTGAATAATTGACTGAAGTTGCTAAGCAATCAAAAAGAGATTGGTTAGTGGTGATATTTGCTCATCCATAAGTTGTACTAGTATGTTTTTTACATAATTTTGACAACTTCCTATTTAGAAACAATTAGGATTTGCAGCATGAATACTAAGATATAATTAATGAATAGTTTTAGACACATTGTAATTTTAGTTTATTGTTAGTTATTTAAGTTATATTATTAGTTATTATTGATTCTGTGTTTATTTAACTTTTTGTTTTTATTAATTAATAATCGTAATAAAAAAAAATCATCATATTTGTAATACTTAAAATAAAATAAGTGTTTTCACATTCTGATACAATTGTTGTTCCTCCTAAAGTTCCATATGAAATTGTAACTTAACATTGATTTGGTTTTGGTGCACATATATAATTTTATTGAAGTAGTAAAAATATTTTTTATATTGCTGCACAATAAATTGAATAATTAGAACATTCTCCAGAATTAACACCATATAGATCTGAACATGATAAAAATGTTTAACATATATTTTAAGTTGCTGATAAAGAGCATCTTGGATTTGAACTGCAAATTCCTTGTTGAATAATTTAATTGCAAGGTTTATTATAATAACTTGGGGTTGTGATAGCAGTTGACCAACCACATTAAGGATTTGTTAAACAATCATAATAGTTAACTAATTACAAGCGTATTATCCAGGTATTTATTTTTATGATATTCATTAAATATTTTAGTATAGTCTATAAATTTTTCTAATATATTTATATTGAATAAAAATTGTTTAATTTCTTTATAAAAACTAGAAATATTTATTCATGTCGAACTATTTTAATTTATTGTTAGAATCTATCTTTAAGTGAATCCTGTATTTCCTGAACAATTAACTAAATTAAATTCTGGAGATGTAACTAAATTAATACAAGAGGGATATAAGTATTTTTCGACCATTGACATAATTACATTTCTCCAATTTTAAATAATGAAATTATAAATTTGCATCATGCAAGAGTTGTAAAATTAGCGCAGGTAAGTTATTAACATAAATTATTTGCATAATAACAATAATCAGAAAAATAACTGCAAATTTGCTAAATATTTATATAACTACATGTTATTACTTCATGACATGAATCAGTAATATATAAAAATATTATCCGATCCATAAGTACTACTACAAGTAGATGGTGACATTGATCCACAAGTAATAGTTAGGGATGAAGTACAATTCGCTCCATCGTAACCTCCAAATTAAGTAGAATAAGAGAGACATAGTTAAATACTTAATCCTATTCCATTGATTGAATTACTTGAAGTGAAATTTTGACAAACACTTATAATTATATTCAATCCACAACCAATTGTTTATGCACCAACTTAATTGCTAGAAATTTTTTAACAAGGTTATTAGGTACATATTTTATTAATCTGAACACATGTGGCATTACTACAATCCCTCTATATCATGTATTAATAAAATTAGTATGTTGGAAAATTGTAAGTAGGAATCATATCAGAAGAACAAGAATAACAAATTTCTCCATAATTTGACAATTATTCAATTCTATAAAAAATGTGAAAAGTTAGTTTAGCAATAGTATAATAAAATTATCATTTTGGTTTTGTTATTTAAGAATGTTTTTCATAAATTTCTTAATAAATAAATTACATTTTACATGTATTTTATAAATTAGAGATATATTTAAAGCATAACACTAAGAAATTAAAGGAATTTTTAGAAAAGATAATAAGTAAGAACTTTAGGTTTAATCATTATATTAATGAGATGCTGAAATAATAAATTTAAATTATATATTAATACTATAAGGAGAAAGGTAGGTAAATAAACTGACTATAGAAATTTCTTACAATTTATATTTATATATTTAATTGATATCAAACATTATATTAATAGTAATATGTAATAAAACCTAGTTTATTGTTTGAATCATCCTAATTCTTTGGTAACCCATATATGCATAGGACTACNTATTGAATAAAAATTGTTTAATTTCTTTATAAAAACTAGAAATATTTATTCATGTCGAACTATTTTAATTTATTGTTAGAATCTATCTTTAAGTGAATCCTGTATTTCCTGAACAATTAACTAAATTAAATTCTGGAGATGTAACTAAATTAATACAAGAGGGATATAAGTATTTTTCGACCATTGACATAATTACATTTCTCCAATTTTAAATAATGAAATTATAAATTTGCATCATGCAAGAGTTGTAAAATTAGCGCAGGTAAGTTATTAACATAAATTATTTGCATAATAACAATAATCAGAAAAATAACTGCAAATTTGCTAAATATTTATATAACTACATGTTATTACTTCATGACATGAATCAGTAATATATAAAAATATTATCCGATCCATAAGTACTACTACAAGTAGATGGTGACATTGATCCACAAGTAATAGTTAGGGATGAAGTACAATTCGCTCCATCGTAACCTCCAAATTAAGTAGAATAAGAGAGACATAGTTAAATACTTAATCCTATTCCATTGATTGAATTACTTGAAGTGAAATTTTGACAAACACTTATAATTATATTCAATCCACAACCAATTGTTTATGCACCAACTTAATTGCTAGAAATTTTTTAACAAGGTTATTAGGTACATATTTTATTAATCTGAACACATGTGGCATTACTACAATCCCTCTATATCATGTATAATAAAATTATCATTTTGGTTTTGTTATTTAAGAATGTTTTTCATAAATTTCTTAATAAATAAATTACATTTTACATGTATTTTATAAATTAGAGATATATTTAAAGCATAACACTAAGAAATTAAAGGAATTTTTAGAAAAGATAATAAGTAAGAACTTTAGGTTTAATCATTATATTAATGAGATGCTGAAATAATAAATTTAAATTATATATTAATACTATAAGGAGAAAGGTAGGTAAATAAACTGACTATAGAAATTTCTTACAATTTATATTTATATATTTAATTGATATCAAACATTATATTAATAGTAATATGTAATAAAACCTAGTTTATTGTTTGAATCATCCTAATTCTTTGGTAACCCATATATGCATAGGACTACATCTATGCCAAAGAAAACTTTGCTCAGAATGTTAATATCAACACTAAAATATTATAAAAGGAGATTAAATACTTCCTTTTCAGACTCTTAAAAATAATCTTCAATAAAATATAGAGTAATTCTAATTAAATGATCCAATTCGACTTAATCGAGCCAAACAAGAATTCAAATAAGCGATTTCTTAAATGCAACAAACATTCTCCTCTTTGATTGAAGAGATGATTGAAACTTCTAAGAAAATATTTCAAGAGATCGAACAAATAGATAAATAGTTTCTAGATTTATTAAGTTCAAACATTGAAGAATCTAGTAATTCTAAACTTTATAAAATATCTGAAATTCTATAATAGAATCATCTCAAATTTTGGTAACATCAAAAACAAAATTGTTATAAAATACTAGATGAAAACAAACATTATCTCATTTTGAAATGTGAAAATGTAGCAATTAAAATGAGAGAAAAAATAAAGACAATTAATTATGAAAAAATAGGGTAAAAATTTAATCTAGATAAAGATTTAATGTCTTTCAAAATTCTAAATTATTAGGAATTAATCATAGTGATTTTATTTATATAAATAATGAGATAATCTCAAAGGTAAATCATTAGATAATATTTTTAGCAAGGAAATATGAGGTTAAACTAAAGAGAAGGCTTAATAGACATTTTAGGGTTTTCTTAAAATGAAAATGCATTAAAAGCCTTTTAAATTGAGTTTTAACAAGGAAAATTATGCTATATAGAGGATGGAAAGATATTAAGGATGTATATCTTTGATATTTAATTAGAGAAATTGATAATGATTAAAATTCTAATAAAGAGATAATTACAAATTATGATTAATTATGTAATTTGAAATGGATAGGAGAAGAAACTGAAACTAAATAAAAAATTACATTATGGAATGCCTATTGGGGAAAACAATTTCTAGAATTAGAAGGTTTATATGATAAAAAAGGAAGGAAGTAGGGCTTTTGGAGTGAGCCATGTAGAAACTATAGGTAATTTAAGTAATTTAATCTAGTATTCAACTTCAAGTAGTTTATGCAGGAAATTATCATAATGGGAAAAAATAAGGAAAGTGGAAATTATAGAAGAAAAATTCAACAAAATTTGTTACAATGTAAATTCTAAGTTATATAAAGTGGTGGAGGAAATTATAATGAGTTTGATGTGAAAGAAGGCTAATGGATAGAATTATGTGATGAAATATTACCTTAACAAAATCAAATAATAATTGATATTGGCAAATATAATGATGGACATAAGATG